GCTAGTAGGAGAAATATACATATAAACAATGTTGATCCCTTCAGTAACTGGCCTTGGATGCTGTTTATCCCGTAACTGGTGCTGGATGACCTGGACCTTCCAGTTACCTCGCACGCACATGTACTGCAGATGCCCAGTAACCAGCCTTAGACACTACCAGTACCTGGCCCCTGGATCCTCTCATCTCCAGTTGCCTCAAACAGCCCTCCTGGCTGACCTGTTGACTTAACAGCTACTTTAAAACATGGCTCCCAGGCCACTTATCCTACTCGCTGGCTAGTCCAGCTTGATATTCACTAGTCATGACACATTAATATATGTACTGACATACGCATGCACTCTGGTCTCTCCAGCTGCTGGCACCCCAGTCTCAGGGACCCCTCTGTCATGAGGTCCCCACTTCAGTTGCTGGTACTTAGACCTCCATACACAAACATGCACACAGCAGAGTCCCGTCACCCAGGAAAATAATTAGCAGTAGAGTTTAATGAGAAGATAGGACAGACTGTGGTGATCAGGCATGGTCAGACAAACATTATGGTCTGACAGGCCACCCATTTCCACGTAACCGGCCCCTTTTAGCCCCTGCTGTATTGTCTGAAGCGTGTTCCTCCCCAAACCACCTTGATGTCTGTGGTAGGTTGACCTTGGCTGGCTGCCAGGTGCCCACCCAGCCACTCTCTCACTCCCACTCCTCAACAGGACAGGGGGAGAAAATATGACAAAAAACTTGTGGGTTGAGATAAAGACAAGGAGATAGCTCACCAATTACTGTCATGAGGAAAACAGACTCAACTTGGGGAAATTAATTTAATTTATTGCCAATTAATAACAGAGTAGGATAGTGAGAAAAACAAAACTGAAAACACTTTTCCCCCATTCCTTCTTCTGCCCAGGCTCAACTGCACTCCTGACTCTTCTACCTCCTTCCCCACCGAGCTGCGCAGGGAGATGGAGAATGGGGGTTGTGGTCTGTTCATAATGCTTCACCTCTGCTGCTCCTGCTGCTGTTCCCCTGCTCCAGCATGGGGTCCCACCCATGGGATACAGTCCTTCCAGAATTGCTCCAATGCGGGTCTTTCCCACGGGCTGCAGTTCTTCAGGAACTGCTCCAGAATGGGTCCTTTCCACAGGGTACAGTCCCTCAGGAATGGACTGCTTCAGCGTGGGTCCCCCACAGGGTCATAGGTCCCGCCAGAAATCCTGCTCTTGTGTAGGCTCTTCTCCACAGACCGCAGCTCCTGCCAGGAGCCTGCTCCGGCATGGGGTCTCCATGGGCTGCAGACTCCTTCAGGGCACATCCACTTGCTGTGGTGTGGGTTCCTCCACAGGCTGCAGGTGGATATCTGCTCCACCATGGACCTCCATGGGTTGCAGTGGGACAACCTGCATCACCATGGTCTTCACCACAGGCTGCAGGGGAGTCTCTGCTCCAGTGCCTGGAGCACCTCCTCCCCTCCTCCTTCTCTGGCCTTGGTGTCTGCAGGGCTGTCTCTCACATTTTTTTCACTGCTCTCTCACAGCTGCTGCGCAGCATTTTTTACCCTTTCTTAAATATGTTATCACGGAGGTGCCACCAGCATCACTGATAGGCTCAGCTTTGGCCAGTGGTAGGGCTGTTTTGGAGCTGGTTGTGTCTGGCATGGGGCACCTCCTGATCTCTTCTCACAGAAGCTACCCCTGCAGCCCCCTGCTACCAACACCTTGCCACATAAACCCAGTACAATCCCCTTCTGTAGAGTCCTCCTGATGTGTGTCACAGCTGGGACACGGGTGGACAGCTCTCCTGTGACAGCAGTGGAGCAGGGGGCTCCTCCCTTTGATGAGCTTACTAGGATCCCCCGCTGCTCTGCCTCTGGGATCCCCTGTGCTCCTGGGGATGAGCCCTCCTCCATCACACAACCTCACCCAAACTCTAACTATATAACCCTACTAACTGGACAGAGAAAATGAGATAGCTGTCTGTTACAGGGAACTGCTGAGCACTATGTAATAACTTCTGGCAACTTCAAGCAGTGCTTTGAAAACTCTTGTTTGTGCTAATTAGCTGTGACCAGCAGTTTTTGGTTTTTAAACATTAAATGCTCTGTTAAAACGAACTGATCTGTCAGGTAAACATTATTTAGGGCTGCAGACCAAAAAAGTGATATGTTAACTGAATGCCTAACTATTTTCCATTTTTTCTTTCAACATTTCTAATATACCAAAGCTTTCTATGATACTCATGAAAAATTATCATAGAAACAATCCTAGCATTTTAACATACTCTTGCTGAATCTTGTGAAGAGAAAAGACATTAACAGCAAATTTTCAAATTTTTACAGCTCCATTTTATACTAAATCCAGTTTCTGGGCTGTAAATGCTGGATGAAAGGCGCAGCAGCCAGATGACTCAGACAACTGCTGTAAAACAACTGTGCAGTTCAAAATCATTGAGAAAGTTTTGTTGGCTTAAGTTTCTGCCAGTAGACTTCATGCTGGATTACACTAAGTTGTCCAGGTCAGGAGTTTTGCTTCATGACCCTTTCACCTCTTCTCCAGTTTCTTGTTTCTTTACTGCTGAGATCGCTATACCAGGGTGTCTCCAATTCCCTTTCATTGCAAACTCGGTGCCTGTACTTTCACTGTGTCTTTGGACAGTCACCACCAGCCATACATCTGGTAACAGGCAGTTTGTCTCTTTGCCTCAGTATTTGGTAATAGCATTGCCAGATAGGTTATTTCTGAATATCCCAGAATATCTCTCTCAATATATTCTGTTATGCAAAAGGTATACTGACAACTGCATCGCACTACTCTATTTTGAGAAAATTTCACACAGTGAATCGTAAAACACGTCAGTTCATATCCACCTACAATAATATAAATATCAGCCTAAAAAGAAAATTTGAATGATATGGTATATATATAAGTAACATCTAGAGTTTGAACTACAAGTTAGTGTAGCTACAGATTCCCAAACATTTAAAATGTTTAATAAGAGATAAATATAAAATATTATAGTATTATGAATATATTGTAATTGTAAATCTCTCTCAAGATACAAACAGATTAAAATTAATTTATTTTTAGCTACTGTACTTCATCAGTAAATCAAAGCATTCATTTTAATATTCCATTTATTTAATCTCTGTCATACCCAGAACTTTCTGTATCAAAAGGAAGAGGCTTAACTGGAAATCACTTGTGCCCTTTCTGCTATCAACTTTTCAAACAGACACACTGTAAGTCTGATATTTATTCACTCTTACTACTTTGTTTAGATAAAAAGGCTACATTTTTGTGCAGCATGTCTTAGAGAGGAGTTCTGAACAAAGCCCTTAGAAAGACAGCAGAAAAGTAAATACTAAAAAAATCTCAGCAAATTACTCCTAGCAACAGTAACAATTTTAACAGTCCAGGTTTCCAGAAGCAGACTCCAGCAAATACTAGCACCTTCACTATGTTTACTGGCAAAAATTGTATTGCAAATCTTGGACTCAAACTAGAAAAAAGATTTATTCTTTTGATCATTTGTTTGCAGTGTGTGCAAAATAAAACTGAGTTGTCCTGTGAGACTTAGACGCTAAAGGTCCCATGCAGCTAGTAGTAAAATGTCATTTCTGAATTACCTTTTTTTTTTTAACACAAAGGGATTATTTGAGATCTCATCATAATGGTGCAATATGAATTAACTAATGGACTGCTCAGCAGTCAGTAATTATGACTCCATTTCTTTCCATATGTGCAAACAATTTCATATATCCTTGTTGTTTCAATGAGGCTATATTTTCTTAAGAGATATTTTCTTGAGAGAAATAACCTGAAAATCTCTGAGAAAAAAAAATCACACAGAAAAATTGGATGCTATTTTAAATTAAGTTTAGCTACATTTTCCCTGTAATTCAAGAATCAGAAATGGGGGAAAGTTTGGGGATGTTAAGACACAAACAAACAAAAAGATTCAGTGATTAAATGAAAACATCAATTAAAAATAGAAATATAGAATACATGGCGGAGAAGAGAAAAATATTTAGCAAAAATCAAGATAAATGAGAAGTTATAAAGTATAAAAAACTGTTAAGTGAATCTAAAACACCGAGGAAAAATGTATGGTGGGAGGCCAGATAGTCAGTAAAGTTACAGCATATGAGGGACAAAACAAACCTTATGAATACCACAGGCCCATCAGTAGATATAAACACAGAGATGAAAAGAATATTAACAATAATACAGTTCAGTATGTATTTCCGTTCTGTTTCCTAATATAAGGAAGAGGATATTTATGAAATTCTCTCTAACTTGCTACCTACTGAAGAAGAGGTTTAGCAATGTCTACTCAGTTCTAGCTTCATGAAATACTAGACCAGAACAGCTTGTACCTGCGATGCCTGGACATGGATAAGATGTTAATCTTTGATTGATCTTAGAGCACTGACAAAAATACAGAAGAATGGAAGTAGCTAGCATTAGGGATTGCCATACACGTTGACTGCGTCAATAATAAACTTACTCATTATCAAGATATTAATGTTCACTGTTATTATCCAAAATAAAAAATAAAAGCTGCCTGAGTAACACAAAAATAAACATATAATGTGCCATCTGGAAGTAGATACAATCAGTATGGTATCCATTAGGTATGGCTTTACAAACAGATTATTTTAAGACAGGAAAACACATCAAGAACAGTGGAACAGTTGCTATTTTCAAAGAACCGTGGTATAGGAGTCTTCAGGAAGCAAGCTAAAACTGTCTAAGACTAATGTTACAAGGAAGAAACAAAGATACTAAAAATAAAATTAAAAACTGTTATACCAGTCTGTGATTATAGACTAATTTGTATGTTTTCTCTTACTACTTGAACATGTCACAAATTCTGTGTCTGCAACACAGACATACATATGCACATATATGCGTACATTATGTGCAAACACGTGAAGTATTTATAACCTAGCTGACACTCTTGCATTTCTTAGGTCAGTTATTCACACCCAAGCAAAACTTCAAATCATACTTACCCCAGTATACGATTCATTCCATGCCTAGCAGCATAATGGAGCGGAGTATTGTGCTGGTACGTTTCTCCATATGAAGTATTTGGGTCAAGAGTTTCTTTTAGTTGAGGGTTGCTCTCATAGATTTGGCAGGCCAGGTTTTCATCTCCATTTATAAGAGCTTTGCGGAATTTGGTGGTTGTATTTCCCATGTTGCTATCCTAGCTATCAATGGCACTTTTTCCTCTCCCCTTCATCCACTTGTTGTATGGTTCTCTAACATGCTTCACAGCCTAAAAAGACAAACAATATTTCATTTATTCTGTAAAACACTCTTTCCTAGAAGAATTCACCCAGAGCTACAGCATTGTCAGCAGGCACGTAAAGAAGCACATAGGGCCTGTAAACCCTACTCCTGAATTGCTGAAGTCCTTCTAGGTAAATACCCACAAATTCCCAATTCTTCAGATTATTTCCCTGATAAATTGTGCCATCCCCTGTGCAAATATTTTCACTACCCATATTCTTTGAACATACAGAAAAGAAAAAAAATGGCCAATATCCACCTGTATTAGAAGACAGGGATGAATACTGAATTTCCATGAATGAGAAGTGAATTAAGCAAGGAGGTAAAATTCTTCAAAAGCATGCAAGAAAGCAGACGTGTTTAACTTTTACCTAAACAAGATCATGTAAAACTGTGCTTGAAGTACCTGTACTTGTGTAGGTGGGTGTAAACAGCACCCTTCTGTGCCAGCAGATGAATGCACGTGAACACAGGAGTTACCACGGCCCCATCTTAACAGTTCTGCTAGGCAGACTCTTTAAAACACCTAACCTCATTTTTAAAATGACACTTAGAGATCAACAATGAACGGGTCCATACAATGCCAGGCATTATATTGGTACTTGCCAACTGCTATGCTCCACAGCCTCTCACCTTTATCTGATGGAGGAGACCAGCAGATCGAGTTGCATAAAGACAGGGCAGACAGAGAATCTCCGCTCGTGAGATGGGACAAGAGCAGCTTATCGGGTCATGCAGTCACATAGAGCACACCACACTGGTTTCTGTCAGAGGGACAGACAGGGGACTCAGCACCAGGCTGCAGCTGGTAGCACGGTGAACCTTCTAGGGGGTCTCTTTTGTGCATGAGTCATCCCATCCAGACTGCTCCATGCCAGACCTTTCATCCCACAAAGCACACACTGGGATCCAAATATGACAGGCACAGCAGGTTAGGAAATTGAGATTGATTATGTTGGGCACGTATAATCAGGCAGGGCAGGAGCTACTTCATGCCCAGTACCTTATATTCAACTTGTTGGGACTATCTCAAAACTTCTATTTCTATGTTGGCTTTCCAGCACACTTACTGGACTTACTTACACTTACAGACAGCCTTATAGACAGAAGAAACAGAGGAATCCAAGGGGTCTAGAGCTGCAGAAAAAACAAGGGAAATCAGGACGCGGATGCAAACCATGTGAAAAGGATTTGGGGAAACCTGGGGAAGAGCTGCAATGAGATATTTTTGTTTCCCCAGAGTAGTCCTCTCACGAGCTGCTTTCAGCTACTGTTGTGAACTTATGTGTCATGTTGCATCCCAGTCTTGCTATAGCTTTGCTCAGATCCCATTCTGCACGAGATCCTACCAGCAGGAGTCTTGCACTGTCTCCTCTATACAGTTCCTCTGAGAAGTCATTTTGTGAAGGGGAGGGAAAAGATCACTTTCATTGTAATCTCACCAGTGCCGCCAGGGCCATTTGAGAAGGAGAGCAGTGGCCTTGGTGGCCTCCATTTTCATCCCCTTTTCCTACAAAACCTTGGTGATGCAACCCTTATTTTGGAGTTGTTGTGTCGTCCCTTTTGATGTCATTGTGTGAGGTAACAATGACACTACCGATTCAGCTGACTCAACATGCTAAACAGGTTGCCCATGTTCTCCTCTGTGACCACAGTTACCTAACAAGCAACTGCACTAAGCAGCCAAAAGTTTCTCATAATAATAAAAAAGTAGGCACTCATCTAAAAGCAAATGCACACCCTTTGTATGTTTAGTTATATACACAAACCAAAGCCCAGATTCTTCAATCACACTAAGGATTCTGCAGCATTTTGTATCTTTCCGTCATCTCTGTATTTTAAAATACAAACATGCAGATGCTATCCAGATACAATATTTATATTCTTCAGGAAAGCCACTGCATGTTCACATTACCATGTCACAGCTCTCAGTGCTGTAGATTAATGTGTTTTCAGATGCAGAAACAGCTTCATTACTCTAAATATTGGGTCGTTTCAGGCTTTAATGAAAGACTGTACAAAACCAAGAAAAACACTACACTCTTTTCAATCAACTAGCAGTTCATATTACCTTCAACAGCCAGGATCTCAAAAATAACTTGAAAGAATGATTTTCAGTAAAGTTTGTTAATGAGATTCGCTTATGGTGTTACATTATCTGTCAATCCCTATCCACCACCAATAGCTCTCGAGACTATAAACTAAATTAGACAAGAACAAGTGCCTGAAAGATATCACATTCACAGAATCTTCATGAAAATCAATAATGAAGATCCCACTAGTGCCCAGAACGTGTGTCATAGTTTAACCTCAGTCGGCAACTGAGTACCACACAGCCGCTCGCTCACTCCCCCCTCCCCACCCCGGTGGGATGGGGAAGAGAATTGGAAGAGTAGAAGTGAGAAAAACTCGTGGGCTGGGATGAAAACAGTTTAATAATGGAAATAAAATAATACTAACAATAATAACAATGTAATAATAATAATAATAATAATAATAATAATAATAATAATAATAATAAATAATACACAAAGCAAGTGATGCACAGTGCAACTGCTTACCACCCACCGACCGATGCCCAGCCAGCACCCAACAAGCGGCCCCCC